CTATTGCAAAATGACCTAGATAAAGTTGAAAAGTGTTTAATTATGTACTATGGTAAAAATAACCCAAAAACAACTTATTTTATGCAAAATATGCCTTTAAGTATCATCTTTAAGTATTTACCTCTGACTTGAAATGGAAAAATCAACCAACTCTATGTGCAATTAAAGCAAATAAAATTTTGGGTATGTTGAGGAATACTTTTTTATGTTTAAATTATGTGAATAACTAAAAATTATATATACAGCTTTTGTAAGACCGTTAATTAAATTCGCTTTATCTGTATGGTCTCCATGTTTTAAAAGTGACACTAATTTCACTACTTTAGTTGTGAGACGGATTCGAGATGACTTGATTCTAATGTGTAAATTATTCAATGGAATTGAAAAAGTAAGTTTAATTAATGAAATTTTGGGAAGAAATTGTCAATCAGCAAAAGGTCATCAAATGAAATATAATCGTGAAAGAATTAGTTTTTTGCCTCGGCTATTATTTTGTAGCAAACAGAGCACCTTTTTACTGGAATCGACTACCTACTGATGTCGTTAATGCTATTTCAGTGAATTCTTTTAAAGCTAAACTTGAAATATTGATTTTAAATTATGTAATTATGTTGAATAATGATTTACCTAACTAATTGTACAAGGTACACTTATCGAATTATCGATCACAGCTAAAATATATTACTTTTACTTATTACTATTATATTCCCTTTTATTTTTATATCTAGTGATATCAAAGTTTGGTATTAATTGTGTGTTCAAATAGACGTTTCTTTGGGATTTGATCCTACTGCAGATTGTTTTGGGTACAGTGTCACCTTTTTCTTTAATGTCAACCTGGTTTTTATTTTTAATCTAAACAATATCAAGCACCAAGATATTTTTATTATTTTCTTTTTTTTTCTTTTTATAGAATAAAACACATACTAAACATTGTAGAAAAAATAATAAAAATTGTTCAAAAAAATAACAAACATTCTGCAGCAACATACTAAACATTGTTTAACAATATGCTAAATATTGTGCAATAATATACAAAACGTTGCTCAAAACATTGTGTAACAACATTGTGCAAAACCTTGATTTGCGTCCTGATTTTGTAATGTTGTAAATAGGCTCTTATTGCAGTTGTTCGTTACAATGCTGCTCACATTTGGTTCAATTTCAAGGTGATCTTCAATTGGGAAAAACTTAGGAGGTATGGCTATGACTGTGAGTGGGTGTGCTCTGCAGCTAAAAAGAGATGCAGAGATGTCGAGGAAAGTAGAAATATCATCTTTTGCTTTGCGAGCATTACCAGTAATGAATTTTTTTTTTATTTTTTTTTATTTTACTTCATCTCCTCAAAGCCGAGAAGGCCACTACAGACGAGGAGGCTACTTATTTTGTGGCTATAACCCTCTCTCAACTCTATAACTCCGAAACACAAACCTTGACGAACAAGGCCGCTGTGCGGAGAAACGAGTTGAGCGCGGTACTACCAGGGACGTGGTGGGGATCGAACTCGGAACCACTCATTTATGAAGCGAGCGCTCTACCACTACACCACTACCGCATAAAACTTCAGTAAGCTATGCTTTCCATTTCAATTGGATGAGCTTGCTTCTTTATGCATTTTACGAGCTTGCTAGAGTAGTTTGGCAAGCCACGCAGTTCAGTTGATTCAGGAGGTTGTACACTATTAAACAACTCAACTTAAATTTTAGTATGAAAGAAATAGGCTCTACAGAAGCAGGTGGTTTCTCTAAGTCTATGATATTTCCTTATTTATATCAATCCCAATCCCAAATATCATCTGCCTACTTTAACTATTTCATCACCACCTTTCAAAACAAGCTATATAAGAGATCATCAAGTGAGTAAAGGTTAGGAGGGATTGGCGTAAAGAAATTTTAGCTTGGTTTTTGGCAAGATGAAGTAAGTTTTTAGTTTTCTGCTTTAACAAGAGTTTCAGCCTAGATTGTGATGTTAATACAACTTACCATATGCCTTCTTGATTCTGATCAAAGCTGATTAGCAAAAGAGTTCTTTTAAATACTTTAGTCCTAGTTTTTGTGCTAAGGTCAAAACGCACCCCATACATATTTTTTTATAATTCTATGGTCATCAGTAGTCTAATTGGTAAAGGTACATATATACTTCTTGTAATAAAATTAATTTTTTGAAAAGTATATATTAAAATATATATGTATAGTACATTGGCTGGTATTAGCACCAATCTGATGATTACATTTATGAAAGCGGTTCATAATTAAGTTCTGGTCGGTATTTCACTTAATAAATAGTGGCATTTGAATGACATGTTCAAAAATGCAAAATAAAAATAGATCTCATTAGAAAAATAGGCTGAGCAATATATCTGTGGTCAACCCTATCATCTATGTCACAAAGTTATATTTAAATCAATTTTATATTTAGCAGGAGCTCATATAAAAGAAATGACATTGGTATTATCATATTGGCCTCCGTGTTCAATGAGATGTTTAAGGGAGGCTTGATATTGATGATCAGTATTCAGAATAAGAAGCAAGCCTATTTTGTATCAGTATTATACTTTATTTTTAATTAGAGTTATATCACTCTCTCTATACCAGCACTAGTATTTTTATGTTAGAAATAATAATGGCAATACAAGCAGTCATCAATTTGCAAACGCGCTTCTTGAAAGTTTGAGAAAAAAAAAAAACACATTGTTAGCTGCATTCAAAACAGCTTAGTCACTATTCCCTTAAGACTGATCAATGCTAAACTTTTTGTAGTCAGATAGCCTACCAATCATACTGATCTAACTATGCCATCAATGCTTTTAGAACTGCTTTTAAAATAGCTGTTAAAAATTTTCTGGTATCAGCTTTTTCAGAGATTACATAGAATTATAAGATGCATGAATTAATTCAACTACCCACGCTCTCGTAGCTTTATCTCTTGGAACCTGCGGTCCTGTCGCTAATGGGATTTAATTTTTATTAAAGATTTTATATCCTTTACTCTTAAATCTTTAAGAGTTCAACATTTTTTTGAATTTTTTTATATCTCTTTTTGCCTTGTTTTTGATTTACTCAAAAAGTAGTTGTAACCAACACGGTCTTTTGAACAAATAAATACTCGTTAATCTGCTAAGTTTTAGAAGGTGCTTAGAAATCAGGCAATTAAAGGCTAGATTGCAAACGGTGCAGGTTATTGTTTTTGTCCAGCTCATTTTTTGATCTGAGCATCTCACGATATAACTGTGAAGCCTCAACTTATGTTGTCTGTCAATGTAACCGTGCATGGCAGTACAGCCTTTCACACTTTCATCTTGTGTAGGCCTATTTTTTACGCATTTTTAAATCACAAGCAATATGATGAGTTCAAGCTTGTACGATGTGTTCGACATACGTGGCCGAGATACAATAAGTACCTCATCCATTTATGATAGAAAAAGATCTCATTATGAAACAACTTTGATGAGATAGCACAAACTGGCGATTAAAAGGCACCAATTTGTAGTGTTGCAGCAAAATGGTAGTCTTGACTTGAGGTGAAACTGTTAGCATATTTTCTTCTTAACTTTCTGTTGGTTTCTTCTAGTTATTTTTCTGTTAGCATATTTTCTAGCTTTTTGAAATGTTGTCTAAAATGTTTTATTAAAAAGAGAGGAAAATAGTCTATCATAGTATTTTTAGGTCAAATCTTTATTCATAGTCATAAACAAAATCACGGTGCAAGTTTGATTACTTATTGGTAACTTTTTCCTAAATTTTCAGGATTACTAGAGAATTACTTACTGATGGATCAAAATGAATTACGTCTTGATAAAAAATTAATAGTGTGAAAAAACTGTAATAATTTTTTCTTTTGGTAAAATATGTCTGTTTTTTATGCCGATTTCTGATTGACATTGAATTTTACCAGCGAAATATTGTATCTTATTTATATTTACATCATTTTTATTGGAGACACTTTATTTTCGTAGAAAGACTAAATATGTAACTCTGCATGAAACTTTGTAACTTCTGCATGATAACGTAATATTTTTTGTTATGCTATGGTTATTTTGCAAAAGTATAATTTTTAGAATAGTAGGAAAATATAGGGCAGAAAAGAAAATTTAACTATTGATAAGTTTTTACAAGGCCGTAGACAACGTTTTTTTATGCTTGAGCTAAGCATCTTTGAAACATAAAAATTCCATATTTAAGTATGTTTATATAAATGAGAAATAAGGATGCTATGCAAAAAAATGCAGTGATTGGAGACTGGGAACAACAAAAACCCCAAAACTTCAGCCCCCCAGTCCAAATAGGAAGGCAATAAGTCAAATTTGTTTTTTTTTTAATCTTAAACTTAATTTATATTCTTCGACGAATTTCAAATTTGGTTCAATAATCTTTTGTTGATTAGTTTTTATGACTTTATAAAATTTACACCCCCCTCAATTGGAGGGGGCTTATATTCATATATATGAACATACTTAAATATGGAGTTTTCTTCATGTTTCAAAGATGCTTAACTCAAGCATAAAAAAAATTTGTCTACGGCCTTGTTTTACATTAGTAAGTGATTCAGATTTTTCATACTGTGTAGTTATGATGATTGAAATGAATTTTAAATAATTTTGTATTATTAGGTTTAGCAGCTGCCAATCAGCTTTCTCCAGTGATTGATCAACAACCAGTAAATCCGAAGTTATTATCTCAACCTCTTCCTAAGAATTATGGCTCAATGAATTAACTATGTTTTATGTAGATAAGAATAATATAATTTCTTAAGCGAGTTTGCAAAAATAACACTACCATTCAAAAATGAATGTATAAGTTAAAGAAAGACTCAATTAAAAATATATGTTTGGTTTGTGCAATAAATTGTCATAAAGCTCCTTTACAGCAAAAGAAAGATTTACCGTTTGCAAGTAGTTGAAAGTAGCATTTTATAGATATCCTTTGCATTTTACACAACAATCTTTTGTTTCTCTCACTCGAAATATAAAAGTTTTATAAGATTTGATTATTTTTGATTATTTTTTTTATAATCGACTTAACAAAAAATGTTATTTTATTTTTCATATATATTTCTAGCAATATTTTTTGTTGTTGTTTTAAAACACTAAAGTTAAATAAAAATTTGTTTTTATTTTCTACATATCCACTAGTGCCAGAGTGTCAGATGCTCCTTATGCGTCTTTTTTTTTAAATATAATTCTCGATCCGGCCTGAAGTTTGTTAACAATTCCGGCCAACCTGGATCCGGTCGGAAATTCGAATTTCCAATCCGGTACATCCCTAATATATACAAAAAAGGATCAGTTTTATACGAATTCAAACAAAGTGTATAAAAAAGTATCAAGTTAAAAATAAATTTTTAAAATAAAAATTTGGGAACATTCAACACCGCACTGATGCTGACTAGTAAAGTGAATATATATGAATGCACAGTAGCAACTTCATATACAGTTAAACAGTTATACACATTTAATAATAATATATTTTTTAGTTTGAAACACATAAATTAAAAAACAAATAATATTTCTGCATTAAATTTTTATTGTAAAAACTTGTGTATCTCAGATTTATGAAGTGTCCGTATTCTCTGACAATACATATGACATTGTTTGGATGATAGTCCTTAAGCTGAGTTATATGAAAAACAATCAGGATTTCAAGATTTTTAATTTCAAAAGAATGAAAATATACATAAAAATGTAATGTTTCAAATAGTTAGCATACAAAGTATATTTGTTTTGTAAGCAAATATACTTAATTTTCAAAACAATCCAGTTTAGCCCTCCCAAACTGAGGATGATTTTCTACGATGTCATAACACAAAACACAGATTTGATTTCATAGCACACTAGATTTCATAGCAGCCAAATCTAACTTAATGAGCAACATATATTTCATCACAACGGTTCACTTTTAAAAATGTGCACAAACTATTTGACACTGCTGATTGTAATTACTGTAGTACATTTGCCAACTAGTAAACAATTTGTATACAAAGAAACAATGTATTTGCTACTTTAAGTTGACTACAATAGTTTTGAAAATGTTTTTAAAATTGCGAACAGCAGAAGAAAGGTTTTTAGTAAATCGATCTTTTGCCTGAAAATGCATACACCAGTATCTGCTTATAGGCCCACTTTACCATAAATTCTGGGTAATGCATCATAAAATGATGTTTTGAAAAAAGTCTCTTTTCATGATATATGGTTTTAAAATGGGCGTGATGTTCCTCATTATTAAACTTTAGCTGGCAAATGAAGTCAACAGTTATATTTAGAGTAAATATTACATTTATGCAATCAAGTAGCATCAGTTAAAGCCTCCAATGAACACAGCTTTCTAAAATTAGGTTTCCAATCATTAAAGTCAGATTTTTTATAAAACATCATTATTCAGCAGCTTGAATGTGAAAACTTTCAGAAGTTAACTTCTAGTGGTTTGCTGTTTTTGTCAGCCAATGAATAGTTACAACTATTAATTGCATTGTTGACATCTGCAATTTGAAATATTTTTTTTTTATATTAGTGATTGCAAAATAAGGCATATTTCGAAAGATGCAATATTTTCTAATATATGATGCATTAGATGCATAGACCAGAATGCAGTATATAAAATACTTGATACTGGTCTATGCAATGAAACTGTGAAAAACAACTGAAAGAACAACCAAGTTTAATGCCAGATTCTTAAGCATTGTAATTATTGCTTCTACTTTCTGCCACACACAGAAAGAATTCTGTTCGAGTACTCCTACCAAAAACTTCTGCCTTGAATGAAGTGTAAATATCACAATGTGCACACTTTCAAAGTTTGCAAAAGTTTCTTTATATTAAAGCTTTTCATGAAGCCAAACAAAGTGTGTGCTCCTAGATCATCAGCAGGAAAAAAAATCAAAATGACATGAATAGAAATGAAAATGGCATGAAAAGTTATTTTTACTCTATTTAAATTGAGAACAACATCCTGTTTGTTTTCCAATTGCTGCAATATAGAAACAACACTATAAAGAACTGGATAGTATGAGTATTTTTTTTTTTGTTTTTTTTTAATATTTTAGTTTACATTTGTTAGTTCGTTTTTACAATATAATGAGAGTAAATAAAATCTGTATATCTGAAAGAAGATCAGTAAGATCTCACCGTCAGAACCTTATACTAGTGTAAACAAAATATTATATTATAAAGTAACTATAAGTACAACAAAATAAAAATAAAATATACATACATATATCACTTTCTAGTATATATAATAAAGTTTAATAAATATTTCCATAATATAAATATTATTGTCAAATTTTGATAATACGGGAGAGAAAAAGATTTTTCAGCTTAACTTTAAAAAGATGCAAAGAAGTAGGTAGATCAAAATTAAAATTAGGCAAAACAATTTTGTTCCAAATTTGCACGATAATCAATGCAAAATTGGTTAAAACTTGTTTGACAAAAAGGCTCATATAGAAGGTTGTTATTTCTTAGAGGGTATTTATTGGTAGGTTTTAAAGTAATTAAATCATTAAAAATGGCAGGAGAAAGATTGTTTTTACATATATATACAAAGCATAAAATATTGAAAATATTAAGTTTGTAAATATTAAGTATTCTCATATCAGAAAAAAGATGTTTAGAGTGAGAAAAACGATCAGCAAAATTAATTACACTTATTGCATGTTTTTGACGGCGATAGAGAGATTGTAATTGACTTTTTTCAGTGCTTGCCAAAGCAATATTTGCATAATTCATATAGCTATGAATGAATGCATAATAAAGTGTGGATAAAAATTTTTTATTTATATAGATTCTCGCCTTATAAAGAATTCCAATATTTTTTGAAACTTTAGTACCAACATAATCAATATGTTGCTTCCATGTGATGTTCTCATCAAGGAATACGCCTAAAAATTTTGTGGTGCAATCTCTTTTTATTTCAATATGGTCAATAAAAATATCAGATAGAGTTGGGGGAAAATAACGTTTTTTAGTTATCGAATGAAAAAGAATCCATTTTGTTTTTTTAATATTTAGGGTAAGTTTATTGCATTTGAACCAGCTAGAAATTATTTTGAGTTCTTCATTCATAGTAGTGAAGAGTTTATTAATATTCTTATCAGATAAAAATAAACTAGTATCATCCGCAAACATAATACTTAAAAGATTAGAAGCTTTATGCAAGTCATTAATGTATATTAAAAAAAGAAGTGGCCCTAAAATTGATCCTTGAAGAACACCACATGAAATACCTTAAACATTTTTTTGATAAGGATCGTTAAAAGAAACGAATTGTTTTCGGTTTGTTAAATAACTTTTAAACCACTTCAAAATTACACCATCCACTCCATAATATTTGAGTTTATGAATCAAAATGCCATGATTTACTGTATCAAATGCTTTTGATAATTCCAAAAAAATACCTAAAGTGAATTGGGAACTTTTGAAAGAGTTGGAGATTGCACGGACGAATTGAATGGTTGCATGCTCAGTAGAACTATTTTTTTTAAAGCCAAACTGATTTTTATAAAAAAAATTCTTCTTCTTAAAATAAGTAAATAATCTATTGTAAATAATTTTTTCTAAAATTTTTGAAAATGTTGATAAAATAGAAATAGGTCGGTAGTTACATATATTAGTTCTGTCTCCTTCTTTGTATATTGGGATTATCTTAGCTATTTTTAACTTATCAGGAAAAACTCCTTGTTGTATTGACGCTCTGAAAACTGTAAAGAGAATATCTTTTAATTGTTCAAAGCATTCTAAGACTATGTTTCCATTTATTTCATCAGCTCCAGGGGCTTTGTTTTTTTTTAATAGATTTAAACGACACTTCAAACTCCTCAAATGATAGCTCAGAAGATAAATTATTTGAACAAATGCAATCATCCATCGGTGTTAAAAAGTTATTGAACTCAACTTGGGTATTAGGAATTTTATTTGCTAGTTTCAAACCGATATCAATAAAGAATTTGTTAAACTCATGAGCTATTAATCTAGGTTCAAAAATATCTTTGTTATCCACTCTAATAACCTGCGGTAGGGAACCTGAGCAAGTTTTTTCCACCATTTCTCTTAATATTTTCCAAGTACGTTCAGAGTTGTTCTTAACATTTTCAATTAATTTTGAGTAGTAATTCTTTTTTAAGTTTTTACGAGTTTTTTCAAATAGATATTTGTAATCTTTGTATATTTTTTCGTTCAAAGGTATTTTTGTTTTTAAGTAATTTATATATAGCTTTTGTTTGATCTTAGATGATTTTTTAAAACCCTTAGTCATCCAAGGAGTATTTAAGCTTTTTTGATTTATTGTTTTTTCACAGATGGGAAAATTGGCATCATAGACTGAATGAAAGAATGAATTGTTTTAAAAAAATTTTCATAAATTTTATTTGGGTCGTCATTAAAATTTATATGCTTCCAATGAAGCAGTGATAACTGTTTTTTAAACTGTTCAATATTGTTTATATTATATATGCGTTTACTTATTTTATTATTAGTTTTGGTTTTAATTTTAGAATTTGAGTTGAATGATAGAAATATTGGAAAATGATCAGTTATATTTGCTTTCAATATACCTTTTTGTATATTGTTATTGAAGACATCAGTTGTAATAATGTTATCAATGAGAGTTGCTGAGTTTGCTGATACTCTAGATGGACGATTAATTAAAGGAATTGCTCCTATTTCAAATATTAAATCATAAATTTTTATTTATTTTACAGTTATTCTCGTAGTTTAAAAAATTCATGTTTAGATCGCCAATAATGAAATTTTTTTTCTTTTTCTTTAATGCCTATTTTGATAACATTTTGCTCAAAAAACGTGCTCAGATTCTCACTCAGACCGTCAGGTGGTCGATAACAGCAGCTTACCCCTATAACATTTTTAGGTTACGTTACGTATTGTAACGTAAACGAGATTCGTTACGTTACGTGCAAAATGTCCGTTATTTTTACGTAACTGAGACGTAAAATTTTACGTAACGATACGTAACATTGTAACGTAACGTTACGTGCAAAATGTCCGTTATTT